AAAAAAAAAAAAAAAAAAAGCGGAAAAAAGAGAGAAATAGAGAAGTAAATAGACCGAAAAAACGAGAAAACAAATAAATAAATAAAATAAAATAAATAAAATAAATAAAATAAATAAATTAATTTATTTATTTTTTTTTTTTCAGGTGTATAGGCAGCTCTCGCACCCGTTGGGGCATCGACGCCCGTAGTCGGCGGAGTGCACATCCTTGTTCCATGCAGGACAGGGTTCGCTCCCATAACCTAAATAAATAAATAAATAAATAAATAAATAAATAAATAAATAAATAAATAAATAAAATAAATAAATAAATAAATTAATAAATTAATAAATAGAGAAAATGTTTTTATTGTTATTGGTGTGCAACAGAACGGAAACAAAAATAAATCAAAAAAATAAATATAAATAAAATAAACGAAATAAATACAAATAAAATAAACAAAATAAATACAAATAAAATAAACAAAATAAAAATAAATACAAATAAAATAAAAATAAAAATAAAATAAAATAAAAATAAAAATAAACAAATAGAATACAAGCAAAGAAGAAACGAACCAAACATATGCATATACAAGTACCTAACTTTGTGTGTTTTTTGTGTATTTTTCATCTTTTTTTTTAATTTTTTGAGCAAATAAACAACAACATACACCCCCGAGCCTAAACAAACTTTATTTTATTATTTATTTATCTAAATTACGCACCAACTTGCGGGGAGCGGCGACAGTCCTGGTATGTATGTGCATACACACAAGTGTACCAGTCGTGTTGTACACCGTAAGGACACCAAACCGTTTTAAAGTGCTGCATAAAGAAGTCGCTCTGATAAAAAAACAAAAAAACAAAAAAAAAATAAATAAATAAACAAATAAATAAATAATAAATTAATTAATTAATTAATTAATTAAATAAATTAAATACATTAGTTTAAATACACTTGCTTAAAAAATCCGCCCATCCTTTAGTTTTTTCCGTTGAGCCAATCAAACAAACCGTAAACCCTAAACCCTCATAAACCCTATACCCTCGTAAACCCTAAACCCTCATAAACCCTCATAAACCCTAAACCCTAAACCCTAAACCGAAGGACAAGTTTCTTCTTGTACAAACCCCCAAACCTAAACCCTCATAAACCCTCACAAACCCTAAACCCTCACAAACCCTAAACCCTCACAAACCCTCATAAACCCTCGTAAACCCTCATAAACCCTAAACCCTAAACCCTAGAGCTAACCGAAGGACAAGTTTCTTCTTGTACAGAGAAGAGGGGAGCTCTGACTTCTTCCCTTGAATGAGCAAAAGCACAGAAGTGACCTCGCCCGCACCTCTCTGTCTGCATACAAAAAAAAAAATAAAATAAAAACAAAAATAAAAATAAAAAAATAAAAAAACTAAAAGATAAAATAAATAAAAATAAAAAAAAATTTATAATTCGTGTTTTTGTTTTTGTTTTTGTGTTTAAAGAGAAACAAGAAAAACAACTTTTTATATAACTAAAAACACCAAATTTATTTCATTTATTTTATTTTATTTTATTTATTTATTTATTTATTTATTTATTTATTTATTTATTTATTTATTTATTT